ATATCAGCTTTTAGCCACAGTTTAGCTCATTTCAATTATTGTTTTATTTAAATTAGCGTTTAGCTACTGGATAGCTATTGTTAGATTTTAGCTACATTTTTTCACATTTTATTTTTGTTAGCTTGTTGTACATAATTCATTTAATTTCCTGTTGAACAAATTTTACGGAAAAATTCCAGCATTAATTTAAAATGTAAATCAGGACAGATAACCTGTATTCACCTGTATTTACCTGTATTTATCTTTATGTACCTGTATCTACCTGTATTTATATTTATGTACCTGTATCTACCTGTATTTATCTTTATGTACCTGTATCTACCTGTATCTATCTTTATGTACCTGTATCTACCTGTATTTATCTTTATGTACCTGTATCTACCTGTATTTATATTTATGTACCTGTATCTACCTGTATTTATCTTTATGTACCTGTATCTACCTGTATTTATATTTATGTACCTGTACAGTATCTGCCTGTATTTATCTTTATGTACCTGTATCTACCTGTATTTATATTTATGTACCTGTATCTACCTGTATTTATCTTTATGTACCTGTATCTACCTGTATTTATATTTATGTACCTGTATCTACCTGTATTTATATTTATGTACCTGTATCTACCTGTATTTATCTTTATGTACCTGTATCTACCTGTATTTATATTTATGTACCTGTATCTACCTGTATTTATCTTTATGTACCTGTATCTACCTGTATTTATCTTTATGCTCCTGTATCTGCCTGTATCTATCTTTATGTACCTGTAAGAAGCTGTATTCACCTGTATCCACCTGTAAATGAACCAAACAGCCTGATGTTTGACCAGAACAATAAAACCCAACAGTACCTGGTTCTCCACAAGCCTTCACACACTGCTCATGCGTGTCGAAGCGGTTCTGGTTCCCGCCGCAGCCTCCGTACCAGAAGCGAACGCAGTTCTTGCTGGTGGTGTCGTAGTGCCACTTCAGGACAAATTTCCCACAAGCCCCTTCTTCTTTAGGAAGCTGACAGACGTTCACGGCAGTCAGAGAAGCTGACATCAAGAGACGAACGTCAAATAATTAGAACCGCAGACATTTATGTCATTTAGTCGGTAAATAATTTGGGAAGTAAAAGTGGTCTCACCTGGAGCCTCGAGGATCTCCACCTGTGGAACCTGCTGCTCCTGTGGTTCAGGCTCCCGAGGCTCTGGTGCTGCAAAATATTAAATATGAACATATTTACTTATAAGAAAAAGCAGATAAATGCTTGAAAATATTTAAGCAAAGCAGATTGTCTTATTCACGTTATATTTATCTTGGTAAGTTTTTTAACTCTAACCATTTAAATGTTAACTTTCACACGGCTTTTTGATGACCTAATGTGTTACAGCTGCTGTGTCTCTCTGTGTCACCAGTAAAATGTTTGCCCTGACTTTCCACAGTTCATCAGATGTGTGTAACTGTTTGTGTCTTTAAACAGCTGTGAAGAGGCTGGAGGTGAGGCAGGTAGTTCTCCTGCCTGCCTCAGGGGGCGCTGATGAGCCCTTCTTACTCCTCACAGCTGCACAGGAAGTGACTGTTCTAGTTCTTACAGTGACATGGCTGTTTTTGTTGCTTTCATTTATTTATTTTTTCTCAGACTATTGTAACCTGGACTTCATTTAGAAGAGAAGGTAGGACATAACTTTGTTTTAATGAAATGTGCTTCAAGTGAGCTACAGTAGTTTGTATAAAATAATGAGTATGAAACATAACTTGCTAACGAATGGTGACCAAACTGGTTCYGATGGAGCCACCAGCCATGAACCTCACRACACGTCACTGCTTTGAACATTTTAGACGTTACAACTGAACATTAGAACTTGTGGAGATTAAAAATAAATAAATCCAAGCTAATGAAATGTTAGTTAGCTCTTTAACTAGCCTCTTTAGTGTTAGCATTAACATGTCAGCTTTAAAAAGTTATTAAAAATATTACTAATAATTTGTATTTTTATTTTTGGTTAACACAGTGATGGGTCAGTAATTTTAAGTTATTTATTAATAAAATGTGGAGGTGAAATCATGCTAATCAAAGGTTAGCTTTCTAACAGTAGCACTTCTGTAACAATTAAATTTGGGATAAACTAACCCATACAGTCTTGTAGAACTGTGTGAAAAAATTGTAACTTTTTTTGGTAGTTGGGGTAAACAGGTATTTAAAATTTCAGGATTTCCAGACCTGAAGTTTTGGAGGTAACATGTACATGCTAACCAAATGTTAGCTTGCTAACAGTATCACTTTATCCTAAGCATTAGTGTCAGATTTGCTGATGAAATGTTAGCTTGCTAACAGGCTATTTCAGTTTTAGCATATCAAATTTGGTATAGGCCTAATACACACAGTTTTAAAGCTATTTTTATTTTTAATTGACTAATAACATTATTGATAATGTGGATTCTGTTTTTTACGTTAATTCTCTCTCTCTCTCTCTCTCTGATAACACATTGAGGGGTTAATAATTCAGAATAAGCAGTAGTGGGCAGCACTAATCTGAAAACTAATTCCACTAGCCCTAAAACACTAACTCAAATAGTTAGGTCTCCTAATTATAAAGCACTAATTCACTGAAAGTTTTAGCAAAAGCTAATTCTAAAGCACTAAATTAACCCAGTCAACTCATGAACATTGTTCAACAGACAACATGAGTCACATTTTGCTCTCTTAAGACTTATCATTGACTCCTCAGCTGTATTTGGGTTCATATATATTTAATATATTGTCACCTGGTGGATCAGTGACACATACGAACAAAAAGGGCAGTTTTCACCCTCAGCTGTTAACGTTAACATGATCAATAACATTTATAGACCTTCTAAATTTAGCCTATAAATTTAGCAAATGCTAATCCACTAATGAATTTAAAAAATAGCAAAAACCCTAAAGCACTAATCAGGAAATTATTTCTCCTATTAGTGCTTTAGGGGAACTTTACCCACCACTGATAATAAGTTTATTACTAAAAATGTCAGGATTTCTGGAGCTGAAGTTTTACAGGTAACTTCATGCTAACTAAATGTTAGCATGCTAACAGTATCACTTTAGCTTTTTGCTTTGATGTATAGCGCTATTATTTAAATAAAACATTACTTAAAACTATGTTCAACATTTAATATTTAATATTTTTTATCAAGTTTTCCTTTTATCAGTAATTCAGTGACTTTAGTGCATTTATTGTGCACACGTATAAATATCTTGTTTACTGAACATCTTGAGACTTTGGGCTAACAAACATTAAATTATAGTAATATGCTTGTGATAATATACTTTAAGATCAATAAAATTATTGTAGTTTGTTGTTCAGAAGATAAAAGGTCACTTTAAGCTCTAAAAGTTCTGGTTTCTGCAGCCGATTCCTCCAGAAATCCCGTCAACAACTTACCTGACTTGGTGCAGTTTTTCAAGCACAGGGCCTCAGTGTCGAACCTATTCTCATTTCCTCCACAACCTCCATACCAGAACTCTGCACAGAACCCATTCTTTCTGTCAAAGAACCACTTAGCCTGATAGTCTTTGCACGGCAGTCCAGCGTCATYGTCAAGAGAGCACGGGTCTGCGAGTTCGTTAGCTGGAACGTGCAAGAAATGAGAAGACAGGAGAYACGTGACGGAGAACAGAGGATGAGTTTGTGTTAAGATTTAACATAAAAACTGGTGAAGTTAAAAAAAAAAACAGCACAAAACAAAATGATACAAGCAGTTAAAATGTGTGTAAATGGTTCTTAAATGAGTCTTTCTCCACTCAGGAGTTGAGCAGGATCAAAGTGGATTAAATGAGTTTCAACAGATGAGTTGAAAAGTTAGTCATGACAGCAGCTGCTCTGTGTTAGTAATCTGTGACGAGCTCAGCTGGGTGCTTTAAACTGACTCTAAAACCTCTAAATTTATTTACTCTGAATTAAAAAGAACAGCCATGCTGTTTTTTTTTTAGCTCAATACTAAAAATATGGAGTATTTTTATGAATCTACGGCCCTCAAAGATGTTCTCGTGCTTCGAATCCATAAAAGGAAGCAGATTTAAGGCCAGAGCTCAGCTTTGGTAACTAAAACATATTTCATCCAAACTGACAAATATTTCAAGAAGACATTTACAGATCTTACACAGTCCCACATTTCTGTGGTAGGGAGCTGGTTTTTGTTTTTAGTCACTCAGGCTGATTGTTTTTGTTTTCAGTCCAGTTTTGACTTTTTGTTATTTGCTGCTGATAGAAGAGGTCAGTTAAATAATATTAATAAAATGGTTCATCGGGGTGCAGAGCTGCTCACCAGGTTCTGCTCTGTCCAGCGTCGGGGTTTTCACGGTACTGTTGATCAGATCGGCTGCTTCTGAGAAGAGAAACAAGCAAGAATCAAACGTTTATTTCACTACGATTTATTACGTTTGCGTCACTCAAAGGAAACAAAGACAACAGAAGCAATTCAGGAAAACCAAAGTTAAAAAATACCAACACAACATCCAAATCTGTTTGTTTACTGACTGGTTTTGATGATTCCTTTGCGCCTGGAGACCAGCTGACCCTCGGCGTTGTACGCCGACACCACAGCGTGATACGTCTGAGAACTCTCCAGGTTGTCCACGGAGATCTCTGTCCCCGACACGTTGGTCCTCAGAACCAGGGCGTGGTCCTGCAGGCGGGACACCACCACCTCGAAGTAAACGAAGAGCTTGTGGTCGGAGTTGCCCCATCGCAGCTTCAAGCTGCTGGAGGTGACGTTGGAGACATGGAGCTCGTCTGGGTCTGAAAGGTGGAGGTGTCGGGTCAGAATCAGGGTTATAGTAAAGGTTTATATTCCTCTGCTCTTGTTCTGCCATCAACTGGATCTTTTCTAATGGTTATTATTTCAATAAATACATTCGACAGAATACAAACTGTTTTATCCAACAACTACATTAACCCCGTCCACAAGAAAAGGCTCTCCATCCAGATAAAACTCATTTATGGCATCAAGGCTTTGTCTGCTTTCTCCAGATATTTTTTCTGTCCAGATGAGTTTTTAAGACAAACACTGAAATCTTRGCTCGTCTATGTGGTGAGAACGTCCAGAAAGTTCTGGGTCTCGTCCCAGTGAGACATGCTCTGAAAACCTCCAATGGGAAATATCCAGGAGGCATCCTGACCAGATGAACCATCTCAGCTGATTTCTTTAGATGCAGAGCAGCTCCTCACCCTAAAGCTGAGCTCAGCCCCCTAACGAAGAAAGTTTATTTCAGCCAATTGGATCAAGGATCTGTCCTGATGCATCCTCAATAATCCAGGTAGAAAAATTGAACAAGGTTTACTTGGGTATCTGGATGGGTTTTTCTTTGTTGAAAAGTTTATTTTATTTAAAAATCTTCTTCAGTTTGAGGTGTTGGACAAAAGACAAAACATTTCTGCAAAAAGCAACTGGTCCAGAGGAGCTGACTCAACATTGTTAGATCAAGGATCTGGTTCTTTTAGTCCTCATGACCACAGGTGAGGGTTGGAATGTGGACGGACCAGTAAATCCTGACTTTTCCCTTTTAGACTCAACTCTTTCTTCACCATGATTGAGGACAAATCCCTGATCCATTGATCCATCTCCATCCTACCATCACACAGGAGCTATACTATACTTTAACTCCTCCCCCTGAGGCAAAGACTCCTCCCCCGACCTGGAGGAGCCATTTCTCCCCACACAAAGTTTTACGTTAACGGGATTAGATTAATCTTACCATTGTGCTTTCTTTCATTCACAGCTTGCTGACTTTCCTGATGTTTATGATGTTTCCTGGATATATGTATAAAATGTTAATGAAATCATAAATATCAAACAAATTTACAATAAGCTTATTTTAAACAGAACTTACTCCTGTCGCTGTGGTGGTGGCAGAGGGTTTTTTAGTGGCTGGTCACTCTGCAGTGACTTACAGTGGCTGGGCTGTTCAGCAGTGCTTTCAACTAAAATACAGTAAATTACAGAAAACAGAAACATTTGGTTAAATTGATGAAACCATTGGAGTTTGTTTTTAAACTTTACACAAAGTTGGACTTACAGCTGATATACTTTGGTAACAGCTGGCCAAAGTTCTGGATGTGTTTGTTATAAAAGTGAGAAATGCTTTCGATCCTCTTGAAGAAGACGTCCGACGGCTCGCTCGCCATGCGTGACAGGACATGAGTGTCCTTAGGACTCAGCGCCTCTCCCACGCTGAAGATGACCAGGAAGTATCCGCGACACTTGACCTCAGTGGCGACGCGAATTAGCTGCTCCTCTTCATCTTTAACGCTTCCCGTCACGAAGAGCATCAGTACCTTCCTGTCGCGTTGCAGCGGCGCCTTCTCAAACACTTCCTCCACCGTGGATTCGATGGCCGCCGACAGTGCCCGGCCTCCCTCCAGCTGCTCGGTCTTCTCCAGCAGGAACTTGACGATGTCCTGAGAGGAGTGATGATCAGTCAAGCCGATGTCCACGTGAAGTGGAGAGCCGGATTTGTTCTGGACGAATTCGTAAGGTGCCTGCTGGATGAAGGACACTCTGGCGTGATGCAAGGACGATGTGGGATTTGAAGACACGTGAAGGGCTTCTATCATGTGAGCTATGTATCTCTTAATCTCTAGGAAGAAAGAAGGGTAAGTCGACTCAGAGCTGTCGACAAGGAAAGCCATGTCGATGTCCACATCAAACGTCAACGACCTCCGATCTCGGCTGATCGATGGAGGAATATAATCACACGTCTGATCCGGAGAGCATGAATCTGAAAAAATATGTAGAAAAAAATGTGAAGTTCAAAATGCAGCTTGTTGCATTTCACTGTGAATAATCTGTTTTGATGTACAGGGTGAGTCAAAAGTCTCCAGATACCCATTTATTTCTGGAATGAAGACTAAAATGAAATATCTGAATACAACAGCAAGTAGTTTGTGAGGGGTATCTTTTAGACTATGTCCGGGACTTGGATACCATCTTCAACGCCGCCATATTGGATCAGGGGCATGTAGCATGTCAAAGAAAAGTCAGAATTTTCTCAGGAATAGATTGCTGCGATCAAATGTGCTTTGTGTTTTAATACTTATCAACAATGAAGCTTGCAACAACTCAACAATCTTTTTGTACTTTTGGCAAAAAGCTGCAATGCTTTATTCTGGCTTGTTGTCTTTGTTAACCGTGGAAAATCTGTTTATTAGTTTAGTTCTTCCTCCAGAATCAGTGTAGACTCGTCATCTTACCCAGACAAACGTGGCAGTTCATGATCTTCTGGAAGACCGCGTCATACTGGGCGCTCCCAGGACTGGGAAGAACCAGAACCTGAGCAAGCTCCGTGTTGTTGACCTGGAATCAAAAGAGAAATGCAAAAAAAAAAAAAAATGTTTTGAGCAAAACTACACAAAACGTCCTGAAAACTAACAAATGTACTGAGACATTTGAAGGTTTGTTTCCACCTGTACGGCTCTGGTGAGGGCCCTGTCCTCACGGTTCACCAACAACAAAGTGGCGATTCCAGCGTCATGGAGGCGAAGAGCAGCGTTAGAAATCTGTCGGGGTTGACCAGCCCGATGGCCCACAAAGAAAACGGCCACCTTCCTCATAAGGAAACCACTGCGCACCCTCTTGAACGTGTTCTGAGCCACAAAGCTCATGGCCGATTCCAGGCTGGGGGCCTTTGTGGATCTGGGAATCTGCAGGCCCTCGATGCGCTCCACCAGGGTGCGTTTCTTCAGAGAGTCGGCGAAGCGGACCTCAGTGATCACTTCGTTGTTGTAGAGGGTCAGGGCCACGCGAGCTCCTCTGGGACAGTTGCTCTCAGCGATGGTGATGTCTTTGACCAGGCGGGCGGTCGTGTCCCGCATGTTGTTGAAGAACGAGCGGTCGACGCCCTGAGAGACGTCCAGGGCAAAGGCCAGCTCCGTGGGGTAGAGAGGACACTCCAGCTTCCCTAAGATTGTTCACAGAAAGTTCTTACTGCTTAATAAGGAACACAAACAGGTTTGTAAGGTATTAATACTTATTATAAATGTATTTATGTACTTACCATAACAGCATGCTGGTAAAGAAAATAACATAAATTAGACATTTGAACCACCTTACTCGAACATTATATTTCTATGTAATAAAATCAGATACTTACGACAATTGTCTCTGATCTTTTTCACCAAGTCGCATTGCTGAAAGGATAAAAAGTCATTATACGCACTAATATATATATTTTTACTCAGTTAAGTTACAATTTTATAAAACGTGAGGTTACCACAACGCCTGGTCCTCTTGGTCCTTTGGCACCCTGTAGGAGCATAAACAGCAGCATTAACAGAAAGCAAATAATAGGGGGACATGAAACTCAACATCAGCCTTTAGTTCAGGTCTGTAGATGATGTTTGGGTGTACTCTGACTGTCGGTCATTAGTTTGTGAACGTTGTTCCTGCAAGAGTGTTAGGAACGCTTCGAAACATTGATCTTTTGTCTCAGAATAGTTGTAAAATTGTCAAAAACCCATCTCAGTTTGGTTTAAACGACTTGTAGAGTAATTCTTAAAATGCTCACATAAGGTCCAGGATATCCAACTTCACCCTTCTGTCCTGGTGGACCAATATCTCCAGAAACACCCTGAAAAGAGGTAAAACAGACTAATTATTCACCTTTAAAAGAATGTGGCCATTAGTATTATTATTATGTACAGACACTAATGCATGGTGTGCAAGAATGAATCAGATATTTGTGAATCATGGAGATCAGGATTTCACTGGATATATTAGTAACGTAGGTTTGTGGAGGGAACAGGTCCAGAACCTAGACCTCTCCAGCTCTTCCTGGAGGACTCAGTGGTCAGACCAGAGGGTTCTGAGTCTCTTCCAGTTGCATCTAGGAGGCATCCTAATCATGTGAACCACCTCATTTTATGCAGAATCTGGTTCTTTCTGTCCTGATTTAAACGTCATGACCAAAGGTGAAGTTGGAAGGGTTAGTCTTACTCTTTGTCCCTGGTTTCCTCTGGGTCCAGGTCCGCCTCGAGGGCCAGGATCTCCAGCTTGTCCCTTGGATCGAACAAAACCAATCAGGATCAAAAGTTAGCTTGATTATGTCACTGGTCAATAAATGTCCACCTTTCCTTACCTTAGGTCCAGGGTATCCTGGGAAACCGATGTCCCCCTTTAAAAACAACAAAGATTTATTAATAAATTGACCATATTCCTGTACTTCATGTTGCTTTTCTGACACATCTGTGGTTAAGAATGTCTCGAACATTAAAGATCATTTACCTTTTTTCCACTTGGACCTGGAGAACCAGGCCCATCTCTACCATCTTGACCCTAAAATGATAACAGGATGAAACAAAACATTAGTAAATGATTGTTTTTCTCATTAAGATCTGATTGTCTCTACACAAATAAAAAATAAACAAGAGTAACTTCCTTTTCCTGTTCAGAACTGACATCAGTTTAAATCACAGATGAAGAAAATGTCTTCAAATCTACTACTTTTGATTAAAAACACACCACATCCTTTCTGAGGAACATAAATTAAGACTGGATGAAAAATGGTCCCCAGACTTTGATCTGGACCGGTCCAAACCTCTGCTCCAGTTCAGGTCGTCCAACCAGTCTGACTGAATTATGTTTGTTTTGCTAATTCTTAGTTTTTTACACAGTGGGATCAGAAATGCAAGTTTTATTCTTACGGGCTCTCCCCGGGGGCCTGGAGGTCCAACTTCACCCTTGATTCCTGGATCTCCTGGTTCTCCCTACAGAGAAACAGATGGGAGGTTAGGGGTATAAAACGATAAAACATTTCTTTAGCTTTAATAAAGCCCACCTGCTTAAACAGACTGAATGCTTGTGGAGAAATGTGAGAGGGCTAAGCTCAGAGTGGCGTGTTTAGAAACGGAACAAGAACAAGGGACACGCCATTATCAGATTCGTTCAGTACCTTACGTCCAAGAGGTCCTCTTCGACCTTTTTCTCCTATTGGACCCGGTTCTCCTCCACGACCCTGGACCATAAAACATTAAGAGAATTGAGTTTTCAGTTTTGTCCTTAAAGAAAAAGTGACTTTGTGGTTCAGTCACCCTCGGTCCAGGGTTCCCATCTTCTCCTTTTTGTCCCTTGATGCCAATTGGTCCACTTGAACCCTTGAAAAGAACAGAGGCAGATGCTTACTGTTTCAATTATTCAGCTATAATTTGCTAAATATTGCGAAGAGAGGAACAAACTTACTCTGGATCCTGCCACACCTGGCTGCCCCTTCTGACCTGCATCTCCTGGAGCTCCAGGTTGTCCCTTAATTCAATCACAGAAGTGTCACGATTGGGAACTTAAAAAAAGGCTGAAATTATTTATATTCATAATAAGAAATGACTTACAGGAGGTCCAGGTGGGCCTCTTCTGCCATCCATTCCCTAATAATAAAACAGTTTCGTTTTAATTCAAATAAAAATAAATTACGAAGTTAAAAGTGTTTAAAGCACAACAAAAAGTTGTTTACGGTTCGTCCAAGTTGACCAGGACTTCCTTTCAATCCGTCCTCTCCGGGAACACCCTGTCATTTTAAAACAAGGACCTTAGATTCATATTGATTAAATAGTTTTATTTATGTACCTTTTATTATTAATAAAAGCTCAGGATGACTTTACCACGGGTCCAGCATCTCCAGGATCTCCTTTAGGTCCTCCTCGGTTGTTATCTCGTCCACTCGTTCCCTTTGGAACAATAGAAATAATTCAGTTTCTACACCTTATTAAACAACAACATGTGAGAATCCATTTTATTTTTGCTTATTTATAGCCTGAGTGCCAAAAAAATGACGCAAGAAACAATTTCAGCAGAACAAATTTCAAGAACAAAAATACAAAATAAAAGAAATCACTAACAGGGTCTCCTCTGAGTCCTCTTTGTCCAATGTCTCCTGCTTGTCCTTTGATGCCTTTAGGACCCTAAAATGAACATTTATTAGTACTAAGTAGAAGTTTTATTTTCATGAATGAAAATACCATACTATGACAATGAAAGTTATTAGTAATTTTATTTTATGTCTCTTACTCGTCTGCCGGGACTTCCTCTGTCTCCTGGAGGTCCAGCAACTCCACTCTGACCCTGCAGACATGTTGAAGACACCAAGTTTACATTTTAGTTTTTATTACAGATGTTGCCACAGTTAAACAGAGTTAAACATATTTTTATTTTCTTCTGAGGACATAAATTAAATGTGAGACACGTTTACCTCTTGTCCGTTGATGCCGTCAAGTCCGAGTTCCCCTAATTCACCCTGCAACGAAGCAACAGTTGGTTAGGCAACTTTTTATTTTTCACTATATGTTGCTTTTATTTTGAAAAAAATTCAAATCACTTTAATACCTTTTCTCCTGAGAACCCACGGGAACCCTAAACAGAAGACAGAATATTTTAGATAATTTTATTAATAATATAAACAAGTGTTTTATTTAATAACAATCTGAGTGATGAAACTTCACCTTCAGGCCTCTCGGTCCAGGACATCCCTGGAAACCCTGGGTTCCATTCACACCAGGATGTCCTCTTTCTCCCTGTAATTACAGATAAACATCATCTCATGTATCAGCTTCCTGTTGTTTACCCAGAACAGTGATCTGCCTCCATCACAGACTGAATAGATACAGTGGTTTGCAAAAGTATTCATACCCCTTGAACTTTTCCATATTTTGTCACATTACAACCACAAACATAAATATATTTCACTGGAA